CTTTACAATAACCTGCACTCACACCTCAATCCATTTCACTTCCTGCTGTTAAGTATCGTGACCAAGGGTGCACACTTGCAACGATACTTTTTCTCTCTCATCCATACATGCACACATACACTCACACACACTCACCGTCCATTGCAGTGGTAGGCAGCTGGCTGGGATGCTTGGCGGGCAAACCCGGGCCATACCATCAGCCGGCTTAAGATGGTATGGGCCCGCGCAGTTGCCGGTCACATGACGCACAACATTTTATTATTTTCCCTGTGAACATTATTCTTTGAATAGCCGATGGGTTATGGTGAGAAACCCTACCCCTGTCCCCTGACTGGGAATTCTGAGTTTTCATCGCAGGGGTGAACTGGGGGAAAACTGTTTAGGAAAACATGTTTATATAATTTTTGGATTTTTACCTGTAAAGGGTACGCCCAGTGGGAGGGGCTTGGGCTTTAAAACCAAGGGCTCTGGGCCTGGCTGTTGTGTGGGAGTAGTTGGAGTCTGGAGTTGGAGACGGAGACAGTGATTGTGACAGTGTTGAGTTTTTGAAGGTGGAGTTAAAGGAGAGCTGGTGTGTAAATAGATCTGTATATAGAGTTTTTATTTTCTTTTCCTTTGCTTATTTTTACGATTGGGTTTTTGCACTTTTTTTTGTTTTTGCTGCACTTTGTAAATATTCTAGTCACTGTCGCACTTTGGAGAGGCCTGAAATAAATTTAAAACCACAGCTGACGTCTACGCCATCGTTTTCTCCCAGTTTGGGAAAGTTGTTGGTTGAACCCCGCGACAAACGTCTTTGTGTGTTTGTTATTATTTGATAGAGTCCTACAGTGAGTCACAACCTCAGAGCTGCAGGAACCTTATGGTAAACACTAGAGATGCGTCGATCCGATACTGGGTACCGGTATCGGGCCGATACTGGACGAAATTACGGTATCGGATGATTTACTTCATAGTGGTAACTGGCCGATCCGATACTGCCACACACACACACACAATCCTGCCTTCTGACACATCCACGTGTTCGTCTGCTCATTGGCTACAAGTTTACAAAGGGTTTACACTCAAAGGGCCAGCGATCTTTTGTGTTAACCCATCAGAAATCATAATAATAATAATAATAATAATAATAATAATAATAATAATAATAATAATAATAATAATGTATATTAATTAAAAAATAAACTTGTGTACATTAGTCAAAAAAAAAAAAGGCTGCATGCACCAGATTTAGCAGAAAGCTAATTTTCATTTGCAGTCCTATTTATTTACATTGCTTTCTGTTTTTTTGTTTGTTTGTTTGTTTGTTTTTGTGTTTTTAAAAAAAACAACTCAATTTATTGTATCAAGCACATTGTTTGCATTGGAAGGCATTGAATGATGTGAATCAACCGTTAAAGTTGGTAGAATTGCTCCCGTTATTGCATTATTGCTTTATTTCCCTTCTGTTTACATTTGACATGCTGTGGAACCCTACAGCCAGGTAGGGTCATGTGGGCGTGGTTTGTAGGGGCGTGGTTTGTAAGGGGCGTGGTTTGTAGGGGCTGTACCTTAGCTCCGGCTGCAGTCAGACCCTTCTCGATCCCGCAGCGGTTCACAACTTTTCCGGCCTCATTTACTACTGCTCATGCGCAGAGCCGAGAGCGGCTATTAGTGGTACCATTATTTAATACCAAGTTTTGGTAATTTAACCTTTAAATTGCAGTTTAATGTTGCTGTGTCATTTTGATCTGTTCTAAATATCTGAATGGCACTGAGTGCACACTGTAGTCTGACTGCAGCTCAAATAAAGCAGCTACAGTTTCACTTTGAGACATGCTTTTGGCTGTTTTTTCCTTTCTTAGAAAAACAAAGTCTATGCTTTAATAGTATGAGGCTTTTGATAAAGCATCTTAAACAAATGTATCCATGCAAGTAAGGTATTTCCAAAGAAGTTTAGGAGGAGAGATGGTATCGGTATCGGCAGATACTCAAAGTTGAAGTATCGGTATTGGTATCGGAAATCAGAAAGAGGTATCAGTCCATCCCTAGTAAACACAAAAACAGTCATTAAAAAATGCATTGATTTTATTTTCTTACTAAATTATTTTCCTTGAGAAATTACATCTCTAGTGATTTAGCCATTGTGCGCTGAATATTGTTTACATAGCCATAAATATCCTGCCATATCCTTGTCCCTAAAACATTCTTTTCATCTTTCTAGTAACATATTTTAGCAATATTTGCTAAGATATATGCAAATTTGCTCAACTCCCCCAAGACAAACACTTGCTGTAATGCATTGAGTTTTTTTGTTTTGTTTTGGGGTTTTTTTGTTGTTGTTTTTTAAGTTGACTAATAATAATAATACCAATCGCCTATCCCGCTTGTTAGTAATCAGAAATGCAAAATCATGTTTTCACCCAGGAAGGTCAACGTGAACGGTCAAGCAAGCGGAGTTTCAGTGTCTCGCTTCGGGACCCTTCAGCAGGACAGATGCATGCCAACATCTGTCCTGCTGATTGGAGGCCCACACGCACGTCACCTCTGGGAAACTTCAAGAAAAAAATGCTTTATTTTGGCAGTACGACCTGCACGCAGCGATGACAGGCAACCACATTTCAGAAAATGTCGCTCAAGCAGTCCATTGAGTCAAGTATCAGATTCACATATTGGTTTGAGTCAGAGGATAAAAATGTGCCAAGAGACGTCAGCTTTCATTGTTGCTATTGGTGGCTCGGTGCATTTAACATTAATGAGTGCTGATGTCTACTGCAAGCTTCTTCCTCTTCCTTCTCCTGCTGCTGCTGCTCCTCCTCATCCAGCTCTGGGAGGCTGAGAGGAGATCCGGTAATGGCAGGATTTTAAAGGAGCCCCCATGGGCCAACTTTTAACACCCAATAGGCTGGACGGTCAACACCCAGCACGCGCACACACACACACACTCATACACACACACTCACACAGTCTCTGCTTCTCTTTATCTGTCTCTCTCACACACAAACACACAAACTCACACCCCTTTTCTCTGTGCTAGAATTAGCCACTGGCTGCACTCCAGTCAGATCCGCTCAATATTCCACCCTTCCAAAAAACACCCTCTCTCTTCTCATTGTTTTCTGGAGGCCACACATTGCCACAGTCATAGTTGTGTCACAGCAATCAATCAACCATCAATGTGAAACGGCTCCACCAATACAGAGAAAATGCAACGCAACTGTGCTGTAATTTCCCCACTAACCCCTCCCTTACTATCAGTTGACATCTGTCCTTTGAAATCTCCATCCTGCAGCCGGACTTCCACCCACTGCTCTGCTCTCTCTCTCTCTCTCTCTGTCCATTGCTCCCTCACGGTTGCAGACAGACTTCACACCCATCATCACCTCTCTGTGATTCACTCACTTTATCCATTACCCAGCTGGTGATCTTGTCACACATATGCAGAAATACGCAATTTCTTAATCCAATCTGTAGCTAGCTGTCAGTGTTAGGCTATAAAGTGTCACACAGTAATTTGAGTACTTTATTTATAAAACAGCAAGTGCTCAAAGGGATTATTAACATTTAAGTGGTAAAAGTAATGCAAATACAATACTTTTGCCATTGAGCAATTAGTAATGTAATTACTTTGTCAATGAGTAACGGATTTTCACATAACCTGCCCATCACTAATGGGGGAATACATGCTGTTCACGATTTCATGTATTTTCCACAATAAATATGCAATAAATGCTATTTCTGTGAGGTGAAATTAATTTCTCACACAGATTTGTAAACGAGCTGACTGATCCTTAAGCAACAAACACTGAAATATTTTGACTATAAAGCCACAGTTTGACATTTTGGAAAATGTGCTTATTTGCATAAGATAAGAAGCTCAATAGCACAAAAGGGAAAATAAGAGGCTGCGTCTGCACATTGAAGCCTGCACACTGTCTGTCTGAGCATTGAAGTCTTTATCAATGCAACAAAAGCTTTTGCAACTACTTGCTAATGTCTGTTTTGCACCTGGATCCTGCAGTGGTTGGATGTGCATGCTCGTCACAATCAATACCACACTATCTGTAGGGTAAACACATAGCTGGAGCCAACAGACAGTTAGCTTAGCATAAAAATGGTCAGAGGGAGAAATTGCTAACTAGCCAATTCAATTCATCCATCCATCATCTATACACCGCTTAATCCTCATTAGGGTCGCGGGGGGGCTGGAGCCTATCCCAGCTGACTCAGGGTGAAGGCAGGGGACACCCTGGACAGGTCGCCAGTCTATCACAGGGCCACACTTAGAGACAGACAACCAAGCACACTCACATTCACACCTACGGACAATTTAGAATCACCAATTAACCTCAACATGTTTTTGGACTATATGGGAGGAAGCCAGAGAACCCGGAGAGAACCCACGCTGCACTGGGAGAACATGCAAACTCCACGCAGAAAGATCCCGGTGCCCCCACTGGGACGCGAACCCTTCTTGCTGCGAGGCAACAGTGCTACCAACTGCACCACCTTGCAGCCCCAATTCAATTCAATTCAATTCAGTTCAATTCAATCCAATTCAGTTCAGTTCAATTCAGTTTCATTTGTATAGCACAGTGTACAACACATGTTGTCACACAGCACTTAACAAAGTAAGGTATAGACCTTACAAATTTAAATAGACCTTACAGATTTAGCCAGAGCAGCTCTTTCCATTCGCTTTACACTCCAACTTAATTGGCTGTAGTTATTAAACAGACAGTTATGGGTCTCAAAAAGAAAGTAAATAAGTGTATAAGTCATTGTTAAAAAAGAAAATTATAAAAAGGAAAGTAATCATTTATCTATTCCACCTGATCATTTACAAATTCAAGGCAAATCTTATCAAACTACATCCATGAACAACATGACTGTTAAAGACACGTTTATCACTACCATCATCACCATCCATTTCACTTCTAATTACGCTTTAATCTACTGAAGTCATTGCCCCCTCAATGCCCAGTTTCATCCAACTTCCATCCATGAATCCTTCTTCTTACCTGGAGTTGGTCATGTCAGTCTGTCCTCCTTGACTCTTCTCCAGCCCCAGTTTGGTGAAAATCCCCACCAGCACCATGATGGCCACCACTCCACAGATAATATACACGATCATGTGGGTTCGATCCCGGTCTGGTTCCTCGTGGACCTCTGTGACGGGTGCTGCCGGCCGCCCGGTGTTTGCCCACACAGGTGTGTCATAGTTGGAACAGGAAGTCTGGTCCAGACTGTGGACTTTGAACTGGCAACAGAATCGGTAGAAGCAGGAACCGCAACAGAACAAGTAGATACCTGCGTTACAGTTGAAGGGTGGATCCCACTGGCCCATGACGTCATAGTAACCCCAGCAGCGGTTACCGCTGGTTGGGGCCGTTTGCTCCACTGCTACGTCTGGTGTGGGTGTTGCCAGCGCTGCCTCTGGTACCACAGAGGGTTCTGTTGTCTGGTTGTTGGAGGAGATCTGTGCCAAAGCCTGACCGGATGGCTGAGAGTTCAGTCCACACAGAGAGGTCAGACCCAGGAGGATTGCCAAAGGGAACTTTATCAGCAGTGGATGCATGGAGGCAGCCATCTTTACTCAAATGTCCTGTGAGGTCTTGGTGGTGATGTGTAAAAGTTAATGACAGGTCCAACTTAAAGCTCCTAGGTTTAAGAAACAACAAAGAAAGGGGAAGTTATCTCTGAGCCATGAAGCTTGTAGAAATTAATGAGAAACCAGTGAAAGAAGAAACAGGGCGATAAATCAAGAGTTTTTTCTGTATTCATACTCCGACGAAACACAAAAGTGCATTTAATTATCGTTTTGGGAGTTATTAGTGCATACAGTTACAGAGAACTAAATTGTCATCAAAGGGCAGAACAAGTGGGGCAATGAAATCAATCTCCCATCTCAACATGCTCCTAACAGGAGTGAATGAGTCCCTTGTGGGAAGGGACTCACATGCACAGACACATCACAGTCCCTGGCAGTTTACTGTATGTGTGTAGGTGTAAAAGCAAATTCCAAAATTCAACAAATGTCACCTTTCACAAAGCCATATGTCATGAGCAGACAGCAGAGGTGGTTGTAGACAAATCCAAATCCGGTGGCTTGGAGGGAATCCAGTTTAGGAGGGCGTGTTACCGACGAATGAACTTGCCTCTGGCATTTCCAGCAATAAGCTCCCCCGCTGAGTGGATGAATAATCCGTGAAAAGTGAGAACTCTGGGTTCCTGACGGCGCTAGAAGGAAAGATAGATTCCTCTCAAACTCGGAGATAGTCACGAGCTCCCACATGAAAGACTTTTCACTCCGGAGATAGACTCATATTCCTGGGTGGATAGCAACTCCAATGCTCAACACTGGAATCTGAACACTTCTGATGTCCAGGAAAAAAAGAAACCTCTGACCAATAGTGCGGTGTTTACCTCTGGAGTTCTTTGTGTCCTCCACTTCTCCTGCTCAGAGTTTAACTTGCATCTATCATCCTTCTACTCTCAGTGTCACCGTTCAAAGAAAGGTTTTTTATTTTTGTGGTTGGCATCTTTTCGCTGCCACCTTGGTCCACTTTGGTGAACTCCTTTGAGAAGCGAAGCTCCAGTCTTTCGGCCACTGATGTCTTTATAAGTGACACTAACTATTCAGTTTTTATTTAGTGAAGGTAGTGTAGGACAGTTCCCTCCTCTTTCCAGCCCAACAGGTAACAGCAGCTGTTCAATATTCTTTAGAACATTACTCCAGGCTCTTGTCAAGCTGAAATCCTGTGGTGATTACGGTCCAAAAGCGTCCCTCTTGCACCTGAGGCGTGTTTTCTGTCTCTCTCACACACACACACACTCACACATACTCTCACACACACGTTCACAAACAGCTCAAATCCCCCTGGTGACAGCACACTGTCAGTGTCAGTCTGTAGCTTTTAAGCGACACACAGGAGTCCAATGGCTCTTTGTGCTCGGTGTGCGCAGGGCTCCTGTTGCTGTCGCTCCGTGTGCACTCCACTGAAACCCCTCCTCTCTCTGGATCCCAGGGTCTCTAACAGACCCAGGACACCAGCTGGGTACTCTGTCTGTCAGCCTGCTCAGTCCTGCCCTACAAGTGCTAAGGCAAAAAAGGGGGGAGATGAGAGAGGAGGAAGAGAAAGGGGAGGGCTGATGTTGTGATACTGAATCTCTGATCCTAATGTCTTGATGCTCCTGCATCCAAGAGAAGCTGGAAAAAAAAAATAAACGCGCCGGAATTACTTGACCAGAGTGGAGAGTCCCACATAACGGACCATTTCTTGTTCTTTGAGGGTTTTATTCCCTTCTTCGTTGCTTTTGGCGTTTTTTTTGTTTTTTTTTGTCTCTTGATCTGATCTTAATCTCGTTCTATCTTCTCTTTGATATTTTTGCCTCTCCCAAAACTTACCTCACCCTTTCCTCTCAGCCCCCAATCTGGGCTTTTTTTTTGTCGTTGCTGAGGAAATATCAGCGCGGGGGGTCACGGAGCCTGTGAACTGCCTTCTGCACTTTCAAGCAGCGCACTTACACAAGCCTCTCTCTGGAATAATGCTCCCCCAGCCCACTCGGACGACAGAGACAAGTAGAGATGCGACAGCCAAACGGCAGTGTGGCACCGAGGGCAGATCAAAAAATATCCTGTTTTCAAAAGAAGCCCCTTTGGAAATACAGGACTGTGTGCAGCAGCTCTTTGTTGTTCAACTACTCAGTGGCCAGGTTTTTTTGTTTTTGTTTTTGTTTTTCAAATTTTCCATTTGCATCAATGTATTTTTGTGGTCTTTCCCCCTACCACTTAAAAAAATAGACAAAAAAGAAAAATCTCAAAGCATTAATATGCAACAGTTTTTAGGCAAATGTTGCATATTATCTCCCAATTTTTTTTCATGCCAAGGATTTTGCTGTCAATTCAGTCCTTGTCCGGCTGCAGCTTCTTTGAAAACAGGCATAATTTGATATATATGTATAGGAATTTTATATATATATCATATGTATGTGTTTTCACTGGTGCTCTGCTTGTGGGATGCTCCAAACAGAAGTGTGAAGAGCAAAGAGAAGCGATAAAATGCTCTTCTTTTTTTTTTCTTTTTTTATTCCATCTTGTCCCTTTGTTTCTTCATCAATGTATTCCCTTATTTTCCTCGCCGTCTCAGTCTGCTCAGTGCTTCTGTATCCCGTCCGCTGGCGATACTCACGCTGCTGCTGCTGCTGCTGCTGCTGTTCTCTGGTTTGACTGGATGACAATATCTCACACGCTCTCTCCCTCTCTCACTCCTCCCTCTCCCGAGTCACTCCTCCCTCTCTCGTTCACTCCTCCCCTCTCTCCTGGTATCTCTCTCTCTCTCTCTCTCTCTCTCTCTCTCTCTCTCTCTCTCTTTCTCTCTCTCTCTCTAACACACACTCCAATCTTTTGTGTACAAATGAGCACAGCTCCCGCTTGCTGACTCTCCCTTTCGTTCTCCTCCTCCCTCCTTCATTATGTGTCACTGACACTCTCTTCTCCCAGTTTTGTCCATTTGTTTTTTTTGGCTCCAGATCATCAAGAATCACTCCTTTCCCCCTGTTCTCCTACTCATGCTCATCTCCATTTACCTTCCAATTATCCAACCTTCGTTTTCCTCAATACTGTTGAGCCCCCACCCCCCGCCCTCTTCCGAGCTACTTTCCTTTCTCAAAATGCCCGTCACTTCAATAAATACGGTGCTGACCGAGCAGCAGGTTGTAATGTGCAGGCGTGTTCATGCCTGATGCACGCGTATTTGTGCGCTATTACTGCGCTAATACCCCCGCACATCCCCGTCTTTGTTGCGAACATGTCTGGAAGATGCGTGGCACTGCAGTCTATTAGGAGCTGATTTTGGGGGAAAGAGAGTGAGGGATGGATGGAAGGAGGGAGGAAGCAGGAGTGACATAAACAGAGAGGAAAAGAGAGGTAAGAGAAAAGGACAGCGGCTGCCAAATAGAGAGAGGAAAGGAGAGGAGAGAGAGGGAGGCTTGACAGTGAGGAGGAGGGGAGGGAAAGAGGAGAGGAATTATCGCGGGGAAGGGAGGGGGATTAAGAAACATGGGGAAAGCGACTGGAATAGGAACTGACAGAGGGATAGTAGGAGGGAGTTGAGGGGAGAGAGAGATATAGATAGGAAAGGAGTGCAGACAGGTAGGAGAAAAGCCATCTCAAGGGAAAGTGACACATTAGACCTAGAGAGAAAGAAAAAGGGAATATTATTCCGAGAAAAATGTTTGGGGAGAGAGACAGAGAGACAGCCGAGGCCCCAGAAAAATTCCCAGGACGTTCACGGAGGAGGACACGGTGAAGCAAATCGCTATGAATTTTGAATAATCCCAGATATAATGTTAAATGCGAGCTAGATTTTAAAGAAGAAGAAAAAGAAATAGCGCCTTGGGTCTGACCATGAACGGCACAAACCTCATCATTTTTGCATAAAAGCTTAAAAGCTTTCCTTTAATTTCCCTGTCACACTCTTCTCGCTCTCTTTTTTTAAAAATCTTTTCTCCTCCATTTTCTCACACATTCACTCTTTGCATTTGAGCCACACCATCCTTTGTTTTTTGTGTGTGACTTTTTCCTGCAAGCTTTTAGCTCATCCTCACTTGCGGTTTGTACTCTGTCCAACCCTCTTGGCCTAAATTCACTTAAATCTTTGGCATCGAGAGTTATGTCATGGATACACGCACACACACAAAAATGTGCACAAGCATTTATGCCAGCACACATACACACTCCTGTGTCTACAGCTATGTGCCACAAATCAGCAAATCCTCCTACCCACCCCCCTCCTCTCGCACCTCCTGTCTGGCATTGAAGTGTCCTCAACTCATTTTCTCTAATTTAAAGCAAGTCAATAATTTAGAAAAAGAAATCAAAGTCGCTGTGAACGAAGACAGGTTTGGCATTGGGTACACAGGATGCTTCCTCTCAGTGCTCAGAAGGGCAGCGAGACACAAGTGTTGGCTGAAAAGCAAGATGGGATGGAAAGAGGAACAAGATGGAGAGGTGGAGAGATGGCCCTATGGGGAAAGATGGAGGGCAGAAAGAACAGATTGAATCTCTCGCTGCACAGGAATGGCCTGACACCACACAATCTCCCGTTTCTCTATCTTTTTGTGTCACAAAACATTCCTTGTTTACTCAATTAATCCCATCGTTGTACATACACTGCACAACTTCAGTTGCCAATAAATGCAAATTTACAAAAATTTTCACATCGATTTTACCTTTGACCCATGAATGAATGAACAGCAAGCAGTCTTGACAATGACCTTTGAGGGGAAATAGATTCCAACATGCAGGAAGGTATAGAAGCTTATTAGCTTAAGCCCCCTTGAGTAGCAATGGCTCCACAGAAGAGACATGGAATCACAAATGTGAAGCAGGGGTCGATGACACAACCGTTAAAGTGACAGTGGAGACGTATTCTATATACATAAAGTAGGAGGATAATAAAGGTTGTCCATAGCAGAGCTCACGGCACCCCTAATTATCTCAACCAACTGGACAAACTTTGTCCTGAGAGCAGGTCAACAGTTCTTGTAAAAGTAAAATCAATCATGATCTCTTAGGTTATCATTTAT